GGATTGACTGTGGTTTGAAATAGAACATTGAACCTGAAAATGATGTTTACTTAGAGTTGTGTAAATGTCATGCATCACTCCTTTGCAATCATCCATAAGTGCAAATTTTGAAATATTATTTAAATTTGCGTTTGCTTAGGATTAGACTTAAAAACCTCTTAATAACGTTTTGCCTTTTTCAATCCGGTGAGTTAAACATGATCTAAGTGTGATGTAAGGGGTTCTTTACAAACATCCATTAGCAACAAGCTGGAAATGACAGGCCAAAGGTCACCTTGTGTTTAATTTGGAGACGCCAGCAGCTTTGATAAAATGGTTGATGCACTGAGAGTGACAAAGGGCTGGTTTATAACCACCATTTAACTCTACCACTCTGAGTAGCTCTTTATCATGAGTCATGTCCAGGCTCATGAAATGATTGAATTCAACTAAGAATAAATCCAGAAAATGAGCCTTTTTCACTAGAAGCATCATCATAACAGCATCGTAATATTGGATTGTTACAACACAGATTTTGATCTGGCAAAAACAGGCCTCTGTTTTTCCAGTGCGTTTCAGCCGGTAGCTGGACGGTGATAGAGATGTTGTGATGTGATGAATGCTAAATCGAGTCAGATGAAGTGATGAGTCACAGAGGAGTGTGTCAGCGCTGAGGCTAACTGAAGGCTGCATCTGTATCTGGCCAAGCTGTGTACCGAAAGGGTGGGGGTGGGGAGGTAGTGCGAAGTGCAGGGTGCGAGTGGTGATGGATGAGGACTGAGCAAGAGAAGGACGAGGCATGAAATAGAATGAGGATGAAGGACAGAGAAGTCCTGGCCGGGCCACGGAGGGGGAAGAAGAGTGCGAGACAGAGATGGAGAGACTGAGAGTCAAGAAAGAATGAGGGTCAGAGAAAGAGAGTAACCTACTCTCAAAACTGCTGATGTTTGCGCTGCTTGCACTGCTTGCTCTCTGCTGCACGGTGGATTCTCACTTAAATTTGCATTCACTTACACTGTATCAGGTGAGTGTATCAGCGGTGTGTTCTTTGCAAAGGCAAAGCCTTTACCTTTAAAACTTTTAAACGTTTTAAAATCTGCCCAATTAGATTAGCGAGAGTATTAAAGCAGATGGCACTTTGAAAAGGTGAAGGCAACGTTTATGCATTCAGATACAGATTTGTTTGCATTGTTGAACCTCCAGTGGATTTAAAACCATTCTTTTTTTTTAAAGCCTGTTATTTGTTGCACAGATTACACCAGAGGACATCCTGCACATCAAGCCTATTTATTTACATCACCGTCATCAGGCTAAGAAACATGTTTAACTTATCAACCTGCCCCAAATTGAAATATTTTTGTCTGCCTAAGGCTTTCCGACACTAAGCAGGTGAACTGCAGAGCTGGGATTCAAAATAAAGAGTCTGATATCGTGCTGGGATGGAAAAGCTCAGCGGGGCGTGTGATTCACCATTTTTTTCCCCGCATCTTACATCAAGAAATAAAGTGCAATCATATTCTTTACAGCGTCACGGTAATATGAATGTAAATATTTCACAGGTTTCATACTTGAGTGGAAACCTTTCTTCTGTGCGTTATCAACCGCAGTTCTAATGACCTTCCAAATAACCATCTATCCCGGACGTCCCGCTGTGGATCTACGAATCACTGCTGAATTGTGGGTGAAATGTAGCTTTCCTTCCGGCTGTGAGCTGTCATGATCTGTTTGAGAAACGCGAGATTGTATTCATGCGTGCACGCATGCTTACATGCTGTACTCTCTCTCCTACACACACGCGCGCCCACACACACACACACATACAGTGTGGAAACACAGACAGGCGGATTCATCAGTCACTGAGCCTCACAGAGGGTGGTCGCTTAAAGGAAGGAGTGTCCTCTCTGTCTTACGGTTCCTCTCTTACTTTAGCTCTCAACAATTAGTTTATCTGTCACATCCCGTCCCTCCTCAGTTTTAATCCACTGCTCTCACTCTTCTGGGCTACTTTAGCGCGTCCTGACCTTATTTAAGGTTGTGTTTGTTTCTTCGGCTGACCAGTCGAGGAGAGGGATCGGATGTTAGCAGGCTAGCCAGATGGCTGGGACTGGAGCAGACCCACTGGCCAAACTGGTAGCTGTGGTAGCAGACAGCAGCTCTGTGGGGAGCAGTTTCAGCACCACTGCTACTCCTGGCCCAAAAATGCTAATTAGCCATCTTTTGACAGGTGTATGGACAGTCCTGGGTTTTGTGTTACAACCTTAGAGTTGACTTAGAGTCATTTTGTCCCAGGTGTATTTTTCCCGGGACTCTTTTCTTGCAGACTCTTAGCTGACAGGAGCTTGAGCTGGAGTGGGATGAAGATGATTTGAGTAGAAAAGTCAAACAGAAGACAAGGAGGATTGACAGCAGGGGAGGAAGCTGATGGGGGTGAGAGGCAGCATGTGTGAAGAGTCTGATAGGAATGGACTGGAGCATTTCTGTCCTTGGAGTGGAGTCAAACCCCCCCTGCGACTTCCCTATTCCGCTAGATCAGTTACCGAGCCGCTACATGATGCGTATCAATAGCACCAGGTTGCCGTACTTCTCTCAAAGCGTTTGCCGTACCTTGCCCGAGGATATCCTGTTAGCCACCTGTTAATAAAGGATGTCGAATCATAAAAGTGCGCTTTACATAACCCTCGTCTCAAAGGAAGCAGAGAGCACAGCTGTTTGACTCAGCCACACTCGAAAAACATCGCCTGCATGCAAATGAAGTCATCTTGCTGATGCATTAGAGCACTGCCTGCTATCTGAGTGGTCAGGGTGAAGGAAGACAACTAATCAGGGCAACAACAGCGCTACTTTCCTGTATCTGAGCTCTCTGTATTTCAACCCGTAAGTCAGGTGTTGAGATGAAAAAGAGGCCCGCCTGTGCTACATGGCTAATTTAAAGGATTATCACCTGTTCTACCAAGACACATTAATCCTAATCCGACTTTAACCCCTTTCATCTCAAGTCAGAGTGATTAAGGAGTAGACTGGCCTAATCTCTTCACAGCAGTGATCACGAGCTACGTGCGCTCGATGGGACAGGAAGCGTCACGCTAAAGCATCTACTGTACTCAACACCCCAACTGTGTTTCTACCGATTGCCACTCTGCATACGTAAGGACTTTTTACTGAGTCCACTGTATTATTTTTAAATCTCCTCGCTTCAAAAGAGTTCATTCTCAACTGATGTGCTCTCGCAGGATTAGATTAGTGAGGGCAGGAAGAGCTGTCATTGGCATAATAGGCCTTAAGTATGAAGGTATTATGGTATAATTATTGAGGGAAAAATACTTTGTTAAAGCAAATCACAGTCTCTTGTCTGGCTTTCATGAATTTGCCTTTAACAACTTTGAGTAACCAAACCCAGGATTTTATAAGTAGTCAAATATTTGCACAGTTAGTTTCAATTAATTGTAGTCTGCTCAAGAGATCATCAGTCATAAATTGTAGCTTTAATGCTTTAATGTGCATGGTATGATTACCAGACTGTGGTATGACTTTGTGTGTGTGTGCATGTGTAGGAGTGTGACGGTAACACATGGATACATTCGATATGAGAGAGAAAGGAAAAAGAGACTGGGAAATTTTAGATGGATTTGGTGTGGTAGTGATGGTGGGAAGAAAGGTAATTGAAAAAGAGAGGCATACTTTTGGTTTTGGGGCTTTTCTAAATGAGGGAGTAGAGATGGGTGGGTCCGGCCACAGCATGGTTTCGTGTGTTTTTATGTGTGTGTATATCTGTATTCGTGGAAGCAGATAGACACAAACACATTCGAATGCATTGTCCTGTTCCATCTCTAAGTTTAGTGTATAGACTGAGGGGGACCACACAGGATCTCGGTCTCATGCGTTGGAGTGTGTGGCAACACTGTTATTATTGATCCCGCCACAGACGTCAAACCCCAGTGCTTATTTAACTGCCGGTCTGATTGAAACAATATGCTGGAGCCCGTTTCATCCGTGTCCAAGACCACTGAATTATTAAACACATCTCCAAAGCAAAGGTCTCTCTCTTTGCATAAAGTCGGAACAGAAATGCACTGCCGAGGGACTTCGGGGGATAAACAAGCCCTTCTTCATTAGTGTGATTGGAAGACGGAAAAGGAAGATGAGAAAATTAGTGGATGGGACTTAAGGAGAATAAAAAGATTATAATCGTGTGTCTTTATCACACATTAAGACTGTGAGGAATCACTGATTAAACTCTAGAATGTTTCAAAAAGAAAAAGAGCTTTTAATTGTATAATCACATGCTGTGTAGACTACAGATAAGAGTGTTTATGTTTCCTTTGTGGAAATAACATGGGCTTTTGGGTACATCAGGACATGGTTAAAACACCCCAGAGGCCTCTGTTAAATTATTTATGAATAGATGCATGGATGTTCTACATTGGAGAGATGTTTTATGGCTTCAACTCACAAGTTGCAAATTAACTGCAATACGCACACTGGCTGACACATTTGACTCGTGATTATAACTCAAACCACAGATTTCTTTCTCTTTTTCTTTCACCGTTTTATTGTTTAGCACTGATACTCGTTTTTACTTCTTACTCATTGGCAGGTTTATCGAGACATGTCACAGTTTCAAGCACATGAGCCAAAAATGGAATGAGATTTGTGGACCTGAACTTTCAAAAAAATGCAAAGTGTTGCTAAGCTTATGGTAGAAGAAATGGGTTTTGCCATCATGTTAGCGGTAAAACCTAAATTACATTAGTAGCTGATGTCTCGATGCACGCTCAATCATCCAGGTAAGTAAATCCCAAAAGGTTGATTCTGTTCATCTGGACGTAGAGATTTCAGTGGGAGAAACGTTTCGTCATTCACCCAAAGTGACTTCTTCAGTCTCAGCTGATTGCAGGTTTCCCCAACCTCACAGCCCATTTTTCATTCAGTGGTATAACTTCAGTTATTGTGCAAATGTACTGTTTATAGGGCTGGGGAAACCTGCAATCAGCTGAGACTGAAGAAGTCACTTTGGGTGAATGACGAAACGTTTCTCCCACTGAAATTTCTACGTCCAGATGAACAGAATCAACCTTTTGGGATTATTGGCTGATATTAGCTATAGCGTGTAAAATAAGTACTGAACATCTAACCAATTTCTAAATATATTTCTAAAGGTGCTATTGACATGAAATTCTCACCAGATGTCGATAACAACCCATCCAATTCAAACATGCAAAGAAATCAAACTATAGAAACACAACAATCAGGTGATTGGAGCACAGTGTGAACAAGTAATCTAATATCAATTAACACATCTTCTCTTTATGTTTTATGTGCAGCTTGTGTATCAGAATATCGGATTTTTGCATCACCAATCATTGGTATCTGTATCAGTGTTACAAATAATGTATCAGTTAGACAAAAAACATGTTGTTTGATAAATGGGATCATAATCTGAACATATAATCTGCTTGGTTAGCACACATAATGATAAAAACTGTAGTGTTAATGTGCCGGGGTTAGTTAAATAAAGATAACAGTGTCTCTTTGTTGTGTTTTATTTTGCTCTGTGTCTTTGTCACTGTAGACACTGAACTGGAACAAGTGATGTTCTTATATGTTTTTGTAGGAAGACAGTTATATGTGTCTCTGTGATACATATATGCTCTCTTCTTATACTGGAAAATATCTTTAAGTCTAAGAAGGTGAAGCACGTTCCCACTCAGACAAACTGGTAATTGCATTTGCTATAATGATGCAGCTGCCAACACAAGGATTCAGCCTAGTTTTCTCGCACTGGTGAGCAAATATTTTCCCTGTTCCTCACTGTAGTCTGACTTCATGTAAATTGGTTCTTCTACAAAGACTCAGTGGTGTTGGTCGGGATGTGACACGAAGACCCAGCAAACAAATAAGATTTGGGATGGTTTTCAGGGTCTGTGACATCAGCCTTAGCTTGGGGGCACATTGGGTGGTCAATGCATGTGACCTTCTCATAGCGGGGGCTCCATAACCCCCATCCATCCCTATTAGAGGACACTTATCAGGGACAGCAGCCAGAGTGACACACTCCCAGCTGGGCTTCCCTGGAGAAAATACTGTGAAGCGCAGGGATAAATCCCCACAGTGCACTGAGGTGTGTTTCTGTGTATGCATGCATGTATATATCTGTACGTGTGTGTGTGTGTGTGTGTGTGTGTGTGTGGTTGTGTATGAGTTGCTCTCTGCAGATAGGACCCTGTGACTCTGAGATATGCACAGGCTCATTAATTAGAAGCTCTCATTATCCCCCCTCAGGCTCCAGACACTTAATCAACACCAAGCTCAAACTAAGACACATGCATGCACGCACTCTCACACACACACATGAACAGCCATCTCACAGAGTCCACAGCAGGCTCCATTCTGACACAACATCATCTAAGAATACAGCTGTGTAAAAGAGGTGAATGAGTAAATGCTGATGAGGGTTATTTGTTTTCAGTGATGTATGGCACAGCAGAGTGGTGGGTGTCATTGCTGTTTAACACTTTTATTGTTCTAATGTTGTTAAGCATTTCAAAACAGATTCATCCGTCTGCCATGTCGCGCAGTGGAAGCAATCCGTCAAATAGCGTAAATTATATTCTTATGTTTTAAATTTCGATGCTGGAACAAATGAGCTTTCAAGACTTTTTGCTTTATGAATCTCGAATGCCTGCGAGGTTTACCAAATGTCTGTTCTGCCGTCTTCCAACATGAAGCGTTGACACTTTATAGCTACCGAACAGTGCGGTGACTGCCATGTTTGTACTGTTACCTTAACCTGTAAATATATCTGTACAGAGGATGTTAGACATTACATATCCTTGTGTTTGTGTGTGTTAGTGTGTGTACTTTACTGGTTTAAAACCTCAGCCCCTAAAATTAAAAGGATGCTGTTTTTTCAGAGAGGGGATGGACGGTGCTCAGCGACACTCTGATGTTGGGACTTCAGAGTGAGTGCTGGGATAAATTACACTCAGACATTTGGAAGAGCTTTTGGATGACTATTCTTCAGTCGTGTGTTAAATACCTTTTCAGTTCTCCTTCTATTCAGTCGCAAAGTGCGACAGACAGGTTGCCAGCTCTAATAATACTTTTGGGTGGAGCCTCAGAGAGTGTGTTTAAGCAGTTCAGATTTATGATGGGATGATTCTTCCTCCACCCAGTTATGAAGTTGTGGAAGAGCGTTCTTCCAGCTATGAAGTATAAGGCATCTAGCAAATAAGACGGGGAATGCTGTGAGCTCAGCTCAGTAGAATGACTTACATGTACAGTTAATAGTCACATTTCACCTTTAAGAAATAGTTTTAAATGCACCTGTGCAAGCTGAGGTCAGTTTGGGACATGAAGCGTCTGAACAAGGCTGCCTGAGTGTTGATTGCACCCGATCGGGCTATGTCAGATCTGAACCAAGAGTTTGACCAAATAAAATGTGTGGCTTGTGGAAAGGTTCAGCAGCTATGAGGCGTCTGTAGTAGTAGAGTGACAGACCTTTGCGCCTTACTTGAATTAGTTTTATTGTAATGCAGTTGTCCAACGCCAGCAGACGAGCCTAACTCACCAACCCTCTGAACAAAACATACAGCGGAGACATTTTTGAGGGCGTTATTGGCAAGAACAAGAAAAGGAAGCGCAAACTTTTAAACAGCTCCAAGTTGTGGAAAATGAAAGAGGGGGGAGAGTTGGGGGCGGGGGTTGGTTGTTTCCCTCTGAAGGCTGGAGTCTGATTTCCTGTGCGGCTGTGATTGGGAAAGCAGAGGCACGCACAGGGAGCCTGCTTCTGTATGGAGATGCCAGATGACAGGCTGTTGCTGAACAGCGCGCTGAGCTGGCCTTTGATTGGTCATCAAAAACGCCTTTTATGAAACAATCTCCTGTGTAAACCTGCTTTAGAAAGTGGGGCTTTAATGTGTGAGCGTGCGTGTGTGGATGAAAGAGAGCACAAGTGTAAATAGTATCTTATTCGTGTGGTGTGCTGCACAGACCCAACAGGAGTCATTTGTGGCCATGGGAATACAAGCTAGGGAAAAATATAGACGCTGTATAATACAGGCACACATAACTCCCACCTCTCTTGACTACAAATGTGTGCTTTGATCACAGTGCCAGCTGCGGATGCGGATGCAGTGACAGTGTTTATGTTCATCCGAGTGTTTCACGGACTCATTTTGCGCAGCAGGAGTTTGTCCATCGGGCCATATGTCAGCTTCGCCCCTCCTCCTGCTGCCTTTTGTTATCTTGGTGACCCCTAGGTGCACTGCGGACCCAGCTGACCCTGAAGACACACTAGTTTATTGACAAACTCACAGCTCCATAGAGTCAATTACCTAAACCAATTTAAATCACAAGCCTACTGGTTAAACTGGTTTCACCTGCACTTCAATATTGACCATTTCTTTAATCCAGCTTTCCCCTTATTTGAGCTCATTTCTGAAAATAGAGAGAGGGGCTTTTATTGTTACTCTCTTAGTGCTCAATCGTGTATCTGGTGATGAGTAGTCTATGTTTTTGCTGCAGGAGCTGGGTTCAGCATCATTAGATATGTTTTTCTGATGACAGCGGTGGTGCACTGATTGAAAAATTCTGGGTATTTCTGATGTTTATTTTTAAGGTTTTTTTGTTGTTCCTCTTTTATTATCAGGCAACAAAAGCAATATTCATTATAAATGAATACCGGAACTGTTGTAAAAGTTTTGAGCCCCTCATGACACTATTGTTGAAAGAGCACTTTTAATCATAGAATTTTATAAAACGGAATCACAGATTAGAAGATTAGAAACGGGTAAAAGGCCAGTGGCAGAACGAGACACTGATAATTCAACTCATCGCCTGCTGATAGTCATTCTTCTTCAGTGTGTCTCTGACGGTGATTCCAGTGTGTTGTTTGTTATCATTTCCTCTGTTCTTAATTTAAAAGAAGCAGGTATTTTTAAACCGTGCTCACCAATAATATTTTGCAATGTCAGATCCCTGATGTGCGGTAACATATTGCACAGTTTATTGCATGTGACAGTTCCTCTCAGCAGGAAGAAACACGTAAAGTGTGTAGAAACAGGGCTCTAGCTGTCTCCAGTGTCCAAGGCTCTCTGTCCTTTGTAAACTGTACCCTTTATGTGTGAATTCAGTCTCTTCTTGCCATGAAAATATTCAAAATAATCAAGGACAGTAGCTTCTATTGAGAATGATCAAGGCAGCAAGCTCATGCAGCAGCACTGTGTAGTGTTATTTGAATTTTTTGAGCTTATTTACACCCGTTTATACTGTGATGATCTGCTAACAGATTCACTTCTTTATGTGAGGTTGGAGACTTAAATTTTTTAGCGGCCTAAGGTCAACAGTCGTCCCTCCTTATGTGGGGGTGCACAGCATTACCAGTCCAATTATCCCACATATTTAAACAATATCCAACATTTTGAATGTCTGTTGTTTACAAAAGTGAACGCAGCGTCACAGAAAATGTGAGAGAGAAAGCGATGGATGCATCGCTGCTGCGAGCAAAGATGATTACCAGACAGATGAGCAGCTGAAAAAACGGTCCACAGTAAAGGGAATACACCAATGTGCAAAGGCTATCGCAAAAGACTACAAAAACAAACTTTAGCTTCCATTTATGTTTCTAAGAATTTGTAAAATTGTATTCATATAAAAAGTAGTGGCTGATGCCAAACATTTAACCTGCAGAGTTTGTTTTTGATGTCAGATACACCCACCTCTTGGCTTTGGTAAAGTATCCCAGATTCATTTATTTTGTAGGGACGTGGTCACGCTATAGGAGATTTTCGGAGAAAAATAATCACATATTCTTTAGATTCATTCTGAACTGAACAGCTTTAATCATCTTCTGTGTGACTATTGTTTGTTGGAGTGTGAGGTCTATACCGACAACTTAAACGGACACAAGGACATTTCCTGAAAATCACAAAACCCTGTCCTGTGTTTAAAGCATGTTGGGCTGCCACAGCAATTGGCACGTGGTTAGAGAGACTGCTCGAGGATTTAGGATCTAGGGATGTGTCCTTGAGCGACGCACCAATCCACAGCCCGCCTCCTGTCTGGGTGGCAGCACCATCTAAGTGCGTAAATGTAAAGCGTACTTTTTGGCAAGTCTTTGGACGGCGGCGCTATGACCCTGCTACCTTACGACCGCTCAGCTCCACTGCTACAAGTCTCTAAACTGTGAGGCTGGAGGAGCGCAGGGAAGGAAGTCATCAGAAAGCTGTAGTCCAGTTTTTCTTTTCTTTTTTTCTTTTTTTGCTGTTGCGTGAACCAGGATATCCTTCCAGCTGCAGAAATTCCAGGGATTTTTTTTGGTGCTTGAACCCCCCTTCTCATAAAAGTAATCCTTGCCTGTCGCGCCGTCTCCACCGACCTCTGTGTGACTATTTCTCTACGAATACTTCCAAAAGTCTGTTTCGGCCGCTGGAAAACGGGATTTGACCACTTGTGATGAGTGTTTTTGCATTTTGGTAGTCATTTCGCTTCCCTGTGGTCTGCTCCGCATCGACTAGGACAGATTGGACACAGTTTATTCGCACCGCGCTGGACTAAAATTTGTAACCTAATTATAGGGAAGACTTCTCCTTCTTCTTCTTCTTTTAAAGAAAAAACTTTAAGAATAAATCTTCCTGAAACAAGATCCCGATTGGTCCCGGTGGCGCTGATCTTGCGTGCCGAGTGAAGAGGGACCGGGTTCATTACGGACTCCTACTTTGGATTTACGCACAGGAACCTTTCACGCAAACAGTGTCAGTTGACACAATGTGTCTCTGATTTATCCTCCGAGCTTCAGTTGTGGATTTAACCGTTGTGTGATTTCTGTTGACTGTGCTGTCTACCCCGAAATTGCCGCAAAGCTGAGACTCGCACACCATCATGCATAGCTCCTTGGAGAAAATCTGCTGCAAAATCGAGGGAAGTCGAGAGGCAGCATGACTTGCGCTCTGGATTTCTTTGAATCTACATTCCTTTCTCATATAATATCTTAATGCTGTTCCATTTTGGTTTACAAATATGATGAAATGGCAGCCCCGGAAGAAGGTGAGTGTTTCTGAGATATTTTGATGATAACGTTTCTCTAGTAGATCACAAGTTGGGCAGAGGGGCTCGGCCACAGACTGCCGCTCTGCCTGTTCGCTTACTACAAATGATCGGCTACACCTATAGTAGTAATCACATTAACGTTGTGCACTAAACTATATTAAACTGTAGCCAAAGCAGAGTTTATAAGGACGAGCAAGTTTCTGTTCCGTTACACTTTGATCTTTATGGATATTTTCTGCCACAGAAAATCCGTTTTAATGATTCCGAGTACAGTAATTACATGTTAATTATAACATGTAATTTAATTTCACATTACTAGTGCACATGCCAGGGAATAAAATGTGTCATGCACTGACGAAGAACATGTTAACCCACATACTGCTGTCGTGTATGCCCTGTACCTCTTTACAACATCCGACAGCCCTGCGTTCCTGGACTAATCAAGACATCAGTGATTAATGCGTTGGGCAGTGAACCTCTGGAGTTGTGGGAATATAAATCGCCCAATCAAGTGTCAAAATGAAAAATAATCTCGTCAGGTTTAAAAGTGGGTGGAAAAAGAAAGGAAACATTCTGCTAAAAGTTTCAGAATAAACCAGCATCACTTCTTTAATGCCTCTTTTAGCATTTTATTTTCTCTTTAGGATTACTAAAACATGTGTCCAGGTTTCTTGTTTCCATGATCAGATATACATTTACTCTCAAGGTTGTATTGTTATTGCTTTCTATCACTGCTCAGTTTTCATAGCCGTGGGGTATTACAGCATGGAAAATATCTGAAAATCATCTGGGGTCTGTAAAGAAAAAAAAGGGGGGGGGGAAGGGAAAAAAATAGTAGCACAAAAATGCCTAAGATTAGGATTTTTACCAGCAGGGGGCACTTGTCTGACAAGAAACAGTTTTTCCCTTTACAGAAGCAGCTTTACTCTGGTCTGGATTCAAAGGAGAGAAAAAAAATGAAAGGATGAGTAAGTCCTTTCCTTCATTTGTCAGCTGTTTTGGATCATTCAGAAGACTTTGTTCGACAGCAGCATAAACACTTGCAGGATTTTTCCTCCTGGCCCAGATCTTTTTTCCCCTGCTCAGCTGCAACTTGATGATGATCTGTCTTTGTGGCTATTCGGGGCACTGGTAAATTAACAGTGTAACCACTACCACTAGCACTGGTTGTAGGTCTTCAGTGCTGTTTCCTAAATTAGATCTCTGTGTTGTTTGTTCTCCATCAAGTGTCATTAATGTGGCTAATCTCTTCCTGAAAGATGGGATGAAAGCAAATTATAAAACCCAAGCTCCTTAATGTTGAATTATCAACACAGAAAATAAATTGCGAGCACGTCCTAATGATTTCTACAGCTGTGCAGTGTGTCTGCCAGAATCATCCGTTAGGTTCCCCCCTTTGAGGACTAAAAGCCTTTCCACGCTGCAGGAACTGATTCCTACCCCCAGCCCTTCAGTCATGTGTACTCAACTTGAAAACACCATAAAGATACACTCTCTGTCATATGTAGATTATTTTTCGTGGATTTCAGTGAGGTGAGTTGCACCAGAGCGCTCATTTTGGGGATTCATTTCAAAGAGCAAAATGGTTACTCGGTTTCGCCTGATGTTGATTAATTAACCTGTTGGTTGTATAGGATGCAAGATGCATATGGATGAGCACAAAGCACTTAGAGCAGAAAACGCAGACCCAACGAGCAGTGTTCAATATTTTGAATTGCCATGCAAATAGCGTGTGTGTTTTTGTGTGTCTGACATTGTCTGTTCACCCTGAACTCTGGTAGGCTGCCAAAGATGTCCTCCAACCTAGGTAGTGCAAAAAAAAAAAAAAATGCAGTTTACTGGAATAGAAAGCAGCCATTGTGCTCCATATTGTGGAGAAAGCAATTTCTTTTGAATCCAATGCTCACTTGAGAAAGTGCACACAAACTAATTTCACAAACAGTCCTTGAGGTCCCCTCTCTTGTGTTTATCAGCTTCTCTTTCTGTCTCTTTGCTACACTTGTAGAGCGTGAGCAATCAATGTAAGTGTGGGAGAGTCATATTGATTCAGGTTGAGAGTCCCATCCACTTCCTCCTAATAGTAATGAGTCAAAATTCTTAATCTGGAATGTTGAGCAGAGAGAGGAAATGTTGCCGTCAGAGCGGGTTGTCTGTTGTGGAAAGAAAGGAGCGTGAAAATGCTTTCATTCAGGGGGATTGTGAGATTAACTTTTGATTTGACAGACTTGGTTTGAACAACTGAGGTGATTAAGAAAGTCCATGTTATACAAGCTTAAAACGTGGATGGGAAGGCATATGACTAAAGGCTGCTTTAGACTTTTATTTCCAATACTGGTTCAGTAAAGGTGTATGTAGTGATAATCATTATTTTCCACAGAGATGGCTTATTTTTTGTTGGTCTTTGAAGAACTACTTGTGTTTTGTGTTTGCAAGTGTAAAAAATGCTGTGTGGATTTTTGTGGCTTTACAGCAGTAGCTGTACAGGGTGGGTTTCATACAGGGAAGTAAGCATTAAGGAATGTCGTCTGTGCCTGTCCTGTAGGGAAAGGTAACTCAGGAAGTCAGCTAAGAGATGGCAATGTGCCTGCACTGGCACTTTTAAGGCACCAAGTCACACCCAGACAATGAAGAGCCTGTGGGAGTGTTGCTTTTAAGACAGTGGATATCAAAAAAAGCTGTTTTTCGGTGTCTCCATATGTTTGTGCACACAACTCCAAAGAGCTTTGGACATTAATTATGGACTTGGCAGGAAAACTAAGTTCTTTTCCTTACCCATGATTTTCTTTTGCTGAAAAACACTGCACTCTCCTTTCTTTGCTGCCAAATGTGTTTTCAAGTCACGGTCACTCCGTGTTTTCTTGGGCAGAATGGCTCACAACCTGTTGGTGGTCTTAAAAAGCCAGCCCCTGCATTTAAAGTTCACATAATATCTTGTGGCAGTGTGACCAAGTCCAAAGGAAGTTACTGGTTGTTTTTGTGGAGGTGCCAGATGTTTCTGTGGGTTCTACACAGTTGACATAAGGCCTTCTCACCTGAGATGGACAGGATGCTCATATTTCTGCGGCAAGACTCACTTCAAATCTGACTTTTACCATCAGCAGGCGTGCTCGTACATCTCTGGCCATGTTCATTGACTTTTTACCTCCAGGATTTTCTCATGCTGCTTTTCCTCTTTGATTTGGTATTATTTATGAGCTCACTGGTGGAGGGGAAAGGGCTATCTCCTCCTCCCAGTTCTCCATCAGTCCATGTGACGTCTCATGGCTGGCAGCAGCACAGCAGTTTTGGAATACATTAAAAGCAGGAAACACCCATGAAAATGTGAAAACACCGTTGGAAGACAGATATCTGATGAGCGAAGAAAGCCAGCGTAGCTGTCACTGGAGGGAGGACTCACTTGGGAGGACGCGGGAGTGCTGGACAAAGATTGAAATACATCAGGGAACAAATGAATGGGGGTCTAGATTGTAGGCTCTGTAGGAAATAAGCAGAGCGCTGGGTGGATATTGCAGAGAAGAAATGGGATTGCTGTAGCGCTTGATGGCATTTTTAGGTGGTTTGGATTTGAAGGAGAGAAAATGGGGACAGGCTAAGAATAAGAGGGTGTAAGAGATGGTGATTTGGAGATGTGGAGTTGAGGAGTGAGAGGCCCTAGAGTGATGCAGCAGGTATAATTAATGATAGGGAGTGATAGCACCTGCTGTTCCTGATGTTGCGCTGTATTTAAGGCCCAGCTCACCAAGCGGAACTGGATGTGGCTACGTGGCCAGCCTGCTGCCCCGTCCCCCCCTGGGGAGCGGAAAGATAGGATGGGGTCGGGGTATTGGGTCAAGTTAGGAGGGCTGCAGCGTGGGGAACAACGACTCAGCAATGCCGGTGACATTTATGTGCCGCACTTGCTCCGTTAATCCCATTCCTCTGCCTCCCGCTGGGAGGGCTGGACAGAGATGGAGGACAGAAAGAAAAGCTTCCTGGAATGCTAGGCATCCTCTTTCTCGTACTGTGACGCAGTGGTCTGCAGGCATTTGCTGGTAAGGCACTCCTGGGAGTGTGCTGTCAAAATACAGCAGGAGAGACAATGGTGACTGGGCCATCCTGCTCTCATTAATCCTCATTCCTGGGACCTGCACATTCCACTGTGAGTGTTGAGATGGATTTTTGGATAGCAAGTGGTAAATACAAGAATTGATTTATGTGTAGAACAGTCCATTTGTAATGTTTTCCTCTGAGCCTCAGAGCACTCATTTCTGATTTGCTACACCATTCCTTCTCCCTCCAGTGATTGTGTTTGAGCAAATGGACCCATGTTTGAGTTTATTGAGGTCATTGTTCCAGAGGTGTGGTCAGCTGCTCTTGGGGCTCAGAAGGTGCCTGTCTCTGGGTGCCTCCGCGGGGAATAAGGCGGCCCTAACTTGATGGACCACATCAATTGGAACACATTTTCTTTTTCTGTGAGGTGGAACAGTCATGTGTAGGACTTAAGCTCTTTTCTTTTCAGTCTTTTCATCAGTTAAGCTTCTGTATTATGTGCTCAGTCGTGCATGTTGATGAGAGCCAGCACTTTAGACATAATCTGGGTGAAACATGTTTTGAATAAGGGCTGTCAATGGCACTGGAGCCACATCGCTTCAGCATATGGCCTTAAAACATGAATACTTTTCTCTGTTTCACAACATTTATCAGAGCGCAGCTGCCAAAACCACAGTCTCTACATTCCTTTATAACTCCACACTGGACGCTTTCCAGTGGGTCCTGTCTCCAGGCCCTGCAGCTGTCTCCAACCAATGCAGTCTGTGTGTTGTGACACACAATCGCATCTAGTGTGTTCCAAAGGGGGCCTGTGATCCAGCCTGCATGGAGACGTGTGAAGAGCACCACTAATACCACCCTGTCTCATACTGATGCCCCTAACTCTCGCTAATTCCATCTCTTCTATTGTCAGAGATGGAATTCATAAGCCCTTCTTTGAAGGCTCAATTTTGCAGGAGTGTGTCCGT